CGTGCTGCTTAGCAGATTTTCTAGGCAGCGATCAAAGCTCCCTTGGTCTCAAATATCTAACATCCCCCTTTTTCCATTTTTCCTCTGCCTCCTCTGAAAACAGACACTGTCTAACCCGATTAGGTCACCCGTCTAAGATGTGTCAACAACCTGGACACAGAGTCAACAAGGTAAACAAACAGGGCTGAGCATGCCACCCAGACAGGAATCGGAGATGCACCGATTGATCTGTAGCTGATCAATAAGAAAAAGTGTCTGGAGAGGGAGTTGCAGTATCAGCCGTTCATGTCCGCTGATGAATCCCGGCACAGTTATACCTTAGTGTCTATAACAATCTTAGCATTGTCTGTTGCTCCTGATCTGCTTACAGAAATGAAAGCTACACGGCTGTTTGGATGTAAAATAATCGGCATCATGGCTTTGTCAAGCTGCTGCCTACCTTTGTGAAGCAGAAAAAAGACTAATACAAACCATACAGCAGGACTAGCCTTTGTGTTTTTATGCATTTCTCTACAAGCATTGCAGATTTGAAGATGAAATTAAATGGTTATTATTTTTATTTTATTTTTAAATATTTTATTAAATGTCTTGTTTGGGTGGAAAGTGTGTGATAACAGTCTTACCAGTTATTGCTCTCAGTTTGGTTCGGCCATTCCAACACAGGCTTTGAGCCCATTCCAAATCATTTAATTGCAGCTCAGATTGTATGTTTAAGGTTATGTCAATAAAAGAAAAAACATTTTTTTCGATCATCTGCTGCCTGTGCTTTCTCTCTGCCTTTTTTTTTTCAATATGCAAACAATACTTATTGTGGCTTTCTTAAAACAGCTTTCCTCAATCTGCTTTTCTTTAAAGGGAATAAAACAAACATGGTTTCATCATTGCAGGTAGCAACAGGTTGGGAACAAGAGGCAGGAAATTTTTAAAGGCAGTCAAAATTGAACATGATAGAAATCTAGAGTGATAGGAGTAGATGTCTCCCTATCCAAATATTCTGGGTTTAATTTTGTTTGAAGGTTTATGTGTTTGTGTGCAACTGAGTAAATGTGGCTCTAGTATAAAGCACTAGGAGTACGCTGTTAGACCAGAAACGATCTAGTCTAAATACCATTGTTGGTTTTGATGAGGTCAAGTAACTGCAGCGTCCAATTGTTAGTGAGACGAAGTATACAGAGGTCCCAGTCTCCAAATTTTGGAACCACTGTGACTAAGGAACATTGTTGTGGTACCAAACATTATTTAAAAATACAATATTTACATCCAGGTGTTGACTTTCTGTACCATAAACATCAGGTTGTAACGATCTTGGTTCTGTTGGATTTATCTAAGTTTTCAGTTTCAAGTTCATCCAGGTTTTTCCTTGTTTTCTAGCTTTTTTGGTGTGTTCTGGATTCATTTATGTTTCTTAGTTTATTTTTGTTTTTTTCTTTCTGTCCTCTGTTGCCCCCTTGTGTTTTCTTTTCCCTTGGCTTCCTCGTCCGCTCTGCTCACACCTGCTCCTTATCAGCTCGTTAGCCCTGCCTTTGTTCAGTCAGCCATAAACACACTCCCTGTGCAGTCCCTCTGTGCTGGTTCCTCGTTTTACTTCGTCTCACCCTGGCTCCTTGTGGTGGTTTTCCCCTGATGTCTCCATGGTTCTGGTTTGTGTTTTAATTTTATGTTGGATTTTTGGATTTCTGTTTTGTTTAATATTTTTAAGTTGGATTTTTGGATACCTGTTTTTGTTTAACATTAGCATTCAGCTCCATGTTGGCCCTTGTATCAGAGCCCGATTGACACTGGAACCATCAATGTCCTAATTGCGCCAACATTGTTATTCATTTGAGAATCAAAGCAGTTTGTCACCTTGACAGAGACCCAAAATGTCTACCCAAGTCAAGCTGATTAAATGTATTACTGATAGGCACTAAGGCCAGCAAGATAACTGATAACTTCTGCTTAAAATGAATTTGTAGTATTGTAGTGTTACGGCTGTCCAGTAAGGGGCGCCACTGTTCAGCGGAGCCTCACTGGTATTTACAAAAGAAGTAATGACGGAGCTGAGGCATAAATGGATCCGGTTTGGGAACCAGATCATATCTGCTCAGGCCCTGCACATGCCAGCGACTATACGATTGGCTGAACTTGGCCACATGACGTAAAACACTGTGGTTGCTCAGACAACGATAATAAAAATGCGTCCGTGTTCCGAGTCGGAAGCATCTGTGGCGATAGCCTGTCTAATGACTAATGAAGTTTTACCTGATTGATTACACAGCTGAAAAAAATATGTTCATGGTGAAAAAAGTAACTGTAAGGCCACGATAAAAAGGGGGGAGAGATGGGTGGCTCTGTGGCTAGCTGTGCTCTGTAGCTAACAGGTTAGCCTATTTTAGCACAGTCAGTTAGCCATATTAAGCTACACTACTTTTAACTTTATTACAAGTAGAATAACTGCTGTTTTCTTCGTCTAAAATCTCGATGAAAGTCATTTTTGAGATGTTCCATTTGTCCTCCACTGCTCTGAAATCTTAATAAAAAGAATAAGAAGTACGGGAGACTTTTTGTGTCACTTTATTAAATGGCAAGACTGAGAATGATTGTTTTCTACTTTCGGCTAATTTAGATCGCAGATGAAACGGTAAATAATAGCAAATACAGGTAATAATATCTTGAGACTCCGGAATAGATTTAATTCTTAAGAAAGGGGAGCAATACAGTTTGTCTGAGTGGCATTGCCATATGATGACATCATAAGAAGGAGCATGGCCCCGAGCAGATCTGGTCCAGGATTATTTCATGTAAATCCTTTTATTGTCCCACAATGGGGAAATTCCTCCTCTTCATTTAACCCGTCGATTTGGGGAGCAGTGGGCTGCCATTGTGTGGCGCCTGGGGAGCAGTGTGAGGTTAAGGGTTTTCCTCACGAACCCAGAGTGGAGGCTGTGGGGATCAAACTTGGGTACTTGCAACCTTCTCAGAGCACAAGCGTAGTGCTCTAAACACTAGGCCAACACTCTCAAACTGTTTAATGGTGACGAGGATGCAGAATACACTTTATATGGTTCTGTTTGTATATGTGAACACTGGATAAACTCCTTAGGTTTTCACCTAAATAGCCCCCATTTAGCCGTGCAGCATAGAGAAGCAGCGTAACTTTTCTGCTGTAATTTGAAGGTAAAGAAAGATAAGATGATAGAAAAAGACAACCAGGCAATAAACACGGTAGATGAGGTTGGCTTTGGTAAATGAATGCCTTCATGGAGATGAGTTTTAACGTTCCTCTGAGAGCAACCAGAACCAGTAACACCAGTTTAAAGGAGCTGCTAGCAGCACAAAGTCTCTCTTCACTAATTACTGGATTACACAGAAAACACAAAGCTATATCACTGTTGGTGTCCAATTCATTAAAGCGAAGTGGTAAATAGTCTGAGGGTATGTCAGAGTAGCATACCCTGTCTGTTAATGATATTTAAAATCTCTGTATATTGGAAATTACATATTTTATTCATCTTTTCTTTATTCCGTAACATAATAGGTTCCTGTTTTGTTACATCTTTAAAAAAAAAAAGTTTATTAATGTGTGAGGAAACAGTTTTATGTTTGATCAGTGTTCATTACAACTTCCACAAACTTTTTTTTATCATTTGAGTAACTAGCTTTTTCAATTCAACATATTGTGAAATAAAACTTAAGCCCCCCTTGTTATGGAAAGACGCTCTTTATAAGAGAGAAAACGCTGAGTTTTCTCTTGATATGAGAGAAAATGTTGAGTTTTCTCTTGATATGAGAGAAAATGTTGAGTTTTCTCTTGATATGAGAGAAAATGCTGAGTTTTCTCTTGATATGAGAGAAAATGTTGAGTTTTCTCTTGATATGAGAGAAAATGCTGAGTTTTCTCTTGATATGAGAGAAAATGTTGAGTTTTCTCTTGATATGAGAGAAAACGCTGAGTTTTCTCTTGATATGAGAGAAAATGTTGAGTTTTCTCTTGATATGAGAGAAAATGTTGAGTTTTCTCTTGATATGAGAAAAAATGTTGAGTTTTCTCTTGATATGAGAGAAAATGATGCTTATCAATTAATAGTTACTGTAGTCGATCGATAAGATTGATCAACGTTAGATGAATTAAAAATTTAGCGATTATTGCTTCCCTAGAGCAAACCTCTGAGTTCGACTAAATTGATAAGATGGTATTCCTAACCAAATCAAAACATGAAAAGTTTGATTTATTGTAGGAAAGTAGAAAAAAAGGTATTTTACATACAATGTAAATATATGGATTTGACACCATATGATTATTGAAGAGCTCCTTGGATGAAATAGACTGAAGATTGATAGAAATGTTTCATTTATCTTCTATGTTTTATCTGGCTTTTTATCTAACATGCAGTGGAGACACTTAGGGAGGCACTAGACCTACACAGGATCACAGACCTCATCAATGCCGCTCTGAAAATAATCCATCTAATGGAAACCCATCAAAATTAAGGATTCATATAAGAATCTAGATATAATATAGATAAAAAGCTCAGTGATAAAGAAATTTATAAAAAAAGAAAAAGAAACCAGTAAAAGAGAGTGGAAGAGGGACGCAGCTGGTGGCAGCCAGAGGACCATCTGTTCATCAGTCTATTAGTTCAAACACACAAATACTCTCCCACTTCTGTCACGCCGTCGTCCTCTCACACACCCCCACACACACAAAGCAGCTACAGCATGCCTCCATTTCCTCGCCCTTACAGCTTATGTTTCATCCCTGTTTTTCTGACACTTGATGCGCCGTGAGACAATCTTCCATCTCCACCGCCGACGTCGTTATTCTCACCGTCTCACACCAGAAGTCGGCCAATCGATGCCTGTTTGTCTTGCCCAAGGATGGGATTTTTTTTTTTTTCCCTCCAAAAGTAACATATTACATATAGCCTTACATAAGAGATCTGAAACAACAGTTAACTGGAACTAAAACTTTAAGAGACTTTTATTTTTTTATTATTTTTAAATGTGCTTCAACCACTCACCGTACATCTTCCCTTCATCTGACAGTATAATCTTCCTCCTCCCACAGGGTGGATAGATGGCCAGGGCCTCCTGGAAGCTCTGCTCGATATCCGGGCTCCAGACCCCCTCGGGGTCCCCGTCCATTGTCTTGTCTCCTCCTGAATCACTGAGTCTGTCCATGTCCTCCCCTGGACTCTCACTGCCACTCCAGCTACTGCGCTCCATACTGGCAGCTAACAGCGCTTGGCTTATGGTGGGGTTTTGATGTAAAGAATATTAATGGTAACTCGTACAGGTGTCCAGCTATTGGTACAGTATGGATGTTACTAAACAGCAGCCAGGAGTGGAAAAAAAAACAAGTCAGCCAGTCGATGGAGAACCCAGCATCAGAAGGACCAACACCTGCAAAAGAAAGAAAACAAACATTATATTAGCTTTTATTTAATTAACCATAATTATAAGTTAATTTAACTGTTTTTTTCCTTGCTGAAGGAAAAAAAAATGTATGAATCTGATGTAAAAGTTGTATGTTTATAACCAGAAATTAAATTTGAAATTAAATTTAAATTCCAGAAATACTGAACAACTCTTGATTCAGCTGCTCACCTCTACTCAGAAAATTGTTTCTGAATATTAAAAACGGATCTTAGACTTAGACTCAACCAGGCCTAAGTCTACTCGACACCGGCCAAAAAAAAAAAAAAACAGAAGCACAGTCAAAATGTGAAACACAGCATGAATAAACACCATGGATTAACCGATCTTCAAGCATCACACGACAACCATCACCAAGACTTCTAATGCGGTTTTACTGGTTTTGGTTATTAACACGGGTGCGGCAGTGACTGCTGCTGCGTAACGTCCACACTCACCACATCAGCAGGGTTGCCAGATGTCACTGACTCACGTTTTCCAGCCCAAAAACTATTCATAAACCTCCTTGATATACGAAATCTTGCCCAATTTAAAACGAAGTCTATTGATCTCTTAGGCCATAAATCTAAAGAAGAAATGTTCGCCCATAGACAGCCATCTTAAAGGAATAGTACACTCAAAACATGATTAGCCTTCATTTTCTACTCACCCCCATGCTGAACAACACTCTGGAGTACTTTTTTGATATCTCAAATGCATCTGGAGATCTGGGAGGCTTCTTGCTGTCTGCTGACATTCAAATAATGGAGGTCTATGGCGCCCGAGGCAGAAAGGTCCATAAAAGTCCACAAAAAACATGTCAATATTCCTCCATACTGCTCGTCCAATGTATTCCAAGTGTCCTGAGTGGGTAGCATCCAGAATTTACTCGAAACGAAGTCATTTAGAATGTTTTTAGAGCATAAACAGTAGTGTATAGGATTTCCTGAAAGCGCGTTCACGAGTCTACGGAAACCGCGGCAGACCAAACCAGATGAAAGTGCGCATTCAGCGTCTGCTCTGCCGATAATGCAAGCGTAGAAGAAGAAATGTGCTGTTTACCTGTGCAAAGAAAGAAACAACGAAAGAAAAATGTCTGAGGACTTCAGTGTTGAGGAAGAGCATGAGTTCTTTGCCGAGCTGAATGCGCACTTTCATCTGGTTTGGTCTGCCGCGGTTTCCGTAGACTCGTGAACGCGCTTTCAGGAAATCCTATACACTACTGTTTATGCTCTAAAAACATTCTAAATGACTTTGTTTCGAGTAAATTCTGGACGCTACCCACTCAGGACACTTGGAATACATTGGACGAGCAGTATGGAGGAATATTGACACGTTTTTGTGGACTTTTATGGACCTTTCTGCCTCGGGCGCCATAGACCTCCATTATTTGAATGTCAGCAGACAGCAAGAAGCCTCCCAGATCTCCAGATGCATTTGAGATATCAAAAAAGTACTCCAGAGTGTTGTTCAGCATGGGGGTGAGTAGAAAATGAAGGCTAATCATGTTTTGGGTGTACTATTCCTTTAAGCTGCCAGATTGGGAAACATCCCAACCTGGCAACAATGCACGTAAGAGGGAAAACGTTAGCCTTTAGATGCAAAACCCCATTATGCACCGCCACATATTTTTGCATAATATAACATAAATTTGTCAAATATAAGAGGAACATCGTAGTTTGGTTTAAAGAAAGCATTTTAGTTTTGCTATAACTTAGTTTGTTGCAAGGATTTTACAATTTAAAGAAATAGAAAATTACATCGTACCAACCGTCACAAGGATGTGCATGACAAGGAAGAGCTATATATACTGCATGCATCATTTAGGTATTTAATATTACTTCTTGAGCTCCTTCAGTTATTTACTGTCACAGGTAGGAGCTTCGGCCGGATAGTAAGTGTTTGGGGCCGGTATGATTTAAGGAGGGCCGGCCCTTGTACGCTGAAATTAGGACCGGCCCACAGATTCGTAGAACAGATTACCAGTCCGAGCCTGGACTCAACTTTATTTCACTCTTGCGATTACGCCTTCAGGGAAATTCTGGTTCCAATAGCTTATATAGAGTATAAAAAGTTAAAGCATATGCCATTGCATATAGTGCAAAAAAAAGCATATGAAAAGAAAAAAGTTATAACCTCCTGGAATATGTTTCCCTTAAATATAAAAATATCTGCACGTTAGAGAGGAAACTACACCGTAGTTGACTTGGGTTATTGCACTTGCACTGCAGAAAAGTAGACTAATTGCTCAAGCTAAACAAACAAGGCTCCTTCACTGCTCTTTGAAACCCAGATTTTAGTCACTCGTTTATTATGCATTATAATTTTGTCTTTTCAGTAATTTCTTTAAACGTAGCTTTCAGAGCAACATGTCATAATCCTGTATCCCAGCTGCTAAAATGCAAATTATTGCTTCTTTTCATGAAGGAAATTGCCTATTTTGTTAAATCGCTGCGGCACATCGTAACCACATAAGTGGAGCGCACGACTGAAGGGCAGACACGCAGAGAAGGGCTACACACAGCTACCGGCAGATTTAGGAGAGGGAGGGGAGAGAAGAAAAAAAGCAAAACAAAAAACACACAGAAACTGAAGGGGCTTGCCAGCTGCCTACAATTCTTCTAAAATCCCCCACAGTAAACAGCAGGGCTGGCGCGCTAACCACCGCGCTTTCGCACAAACATATGCACGCAGACACACAGAAACACACACAGTTACAGTGCAAACCCCTCGGGCGAACACATGTCACTTTGTCTGGCCTTCTACGGTTCACACTTCCCATGCAGAGTCCCTCGCCGCAGCCTGAACGAGCCTGCAAGTGTGAAGCAAGTGTGTATGAGTGTGCCCCTTGGTCTGGCTAATTTTTACACAATTACACTTGACAGAACGCATGGTTGCAGGTGAAACATGTGAAGCAGCAGGCAGCAGTTTGGGCTCGCTTTAACTTTATCTGTACACCAGATCTCAGCATACAGCAGATGTTTTCTTTTTTTTTTCCCAGACACCTGAGGGAAAACACTTAAGAGTCGGCAACAAAACATCTGCTGGCAAGACTGGTGAAGATCTGCTGGTTTACCAGAGTCAGCCCTTCGGACCTCTCTCCATGCTTACTCTGTTCAAGCCCATTTCCGTTTCCCCTCCAGCTTCACACAGTCGCTGTCCCTCTGCAGCAGTTTTCCATTCACACAAGGCTTCATTCATGCAGCAGGACACATGTTTCTGCAGCAGTTACATTTCCTTCCTAAAGTCTTTAAATGTATCAGTGGAAACTAAACATTTCCAAGTTAAAAACAAGACCTTTTCATCCCATCCTGCAAAAGCAACTATTTTAGAGAGCATGCAGACTTTTAGAAATCATTTTAGTATCTGTAACTAAATGCTTGAGCAATATTCGAAAAACCTTCAGTTTGACACAAATGTTAAAGCTGGTAATAGATAAGAGCCTTGGCCCTTCCTAAATGTGACTTTTAATTCTTATTTTTTAATGCAGTTTAAAGCCTACTGACAAGATATTTCTAAACTTTTTTAATTCAGGCAGCTACGGTTTGAGTACAAGTACCAGAATAAACAAATTAAAAGTAAGTCATCAGTAAGAAAAGCACTTAAGTAAAATAAAAATAAAAAAACGTTAATAATTTGGGAAAGTAACTGACCTGAGTAAAAACAACGGAGGATGAATTTGAAGAAACCTGCTTTACACTGCAAAAAATATCTAGAAATAAGTCAAGATTTCTTAAATTAAGGTTATTTGCCTTTAATTTGTGAAAAAAAATGAGATGATTTGCCAATGGAATGAGTGTTTTTACTCTTAAAATAATTAGATGTGTCTCACTTTCCTCTTCAATTCAAGAAAAATGCACTTATTTTAAGAAAAAAGGACTTAGAATTCTATTATTTCCAGTGTAGCCATAAGAAAACCTGGTATTCAAACATAACTCATACAGAAAGTACATATTACAATACATTTTACAAGACAAAAATGTTTTCAATGAAATGATAGGTACCCAAATTTGTTCAGTTTTCAATACGGATCAAGCCAAAGTTAATCAATACAAATAACTCATCACAATCAGAATTAGAAATTTGCATATCTTTATCTCTAAGATCACAATGGATAATGTACATCAATATTTTCCTTACATTTTGAAATGACTAACAGAAAAACATAAGAACTGCCGATCATCTATATGGCAGACTTATCTACATTAAAACTATCGGATTAATCGTGATTAATCAGTTATTGAAATAATCGTCAACTAATTTAGTAATCCTTTAACTGGAGTATAGAGACTGTAAAACATACCTTTAGCTGACAGAACAACCCACTTGGAGAAGTAATTATACCCTAAAAAATTTGGAAACCCATTTTAGAGCAACTGAAGCCATAAAGAACCCCTATCTCCCCCTCTTTTGTTGTTCTTCTTTACCCCATTTGTCATAAATAAAGGTGTGGACACTTCTAATTGACTGGTTGAAACTCCATAAAGTGTTTTTTTTATAATTTTTTACTTTCAGTATGTCTAAAGTGTAAATGAACAAATTATTTTTATATAATATTATTTATTGTTGTCTAATGCTTTTTTTTTTTTTTTTTCCGGGTTTTTTTGTGCTAAAGGACATTAATCATTGTCATGTTCTGTAAAAAATCTATAAAAAATAAAGTGGAGAAAAAAAAGAAGTAATTGTACCAAAATATATAAATATTTAGCATTTAAGATCATAAAAAAAATTTTCTTCAGTCAATATGCTCTATTCAGAACTCCAGGTGGAAAAGCTTTAGTTTCACCTGGTTTAATTCTGTAAAAACTTCTTTACGTAATATTTTGCTATTCAATGATTATCCGATGAATCAAAAAAAGAATCGACACATTAATAGTAAGTAAAATCATCGGCTCTAATCTAAATACCGACATAAATACATATAGTTAAACATGAACAATTTGTATTTAAGATGAAAAAAACTTTTTGTCATTAAATACATTTTACCC